CCCCGGCTGCAGGACAACCCCGCTGCCGCCGCCGTCCTGCCGGGGCCGGAGTTGGGGGGATGTCCTTGGCCTTCCCTGTGGGCCGGAGGCAAATCCCCTCCCTGTCCTTCTTGCTTCCTGCCCCAGGCCCCGAGCTGAGGACGGAGAGCCCGGAGGACAAATGCCCCCGTCAGAGCCTGGTGGGAGAGGCCGTTTTGAAGGGCTCCCCGGCGCAGGAAGGCAGCGGGGAGGAAAAGGGCCGGAGATCCCCCCGCAGGAGGGGCTCCAAAGCCAGCCCAGGGTGCTCTGAGGAGGAAAGAGCCAGCCTGTGCTGGGAAGGTGGCCAGGGCTTGAGGGGGAGCTCTGAGCTGGTGGTCCCTGAGCAGCCTCCCAGCAGGGAAAAGCCCTTCAGATGCTTGGAATGTGGGAAGAGCTTCAGGAACAGCTCCGACCTCCTCACCCACCAGCACATCCACACTGGGGAACGGCCCTACACATGTGGGGAATGTGGGAAGAGCTTCAGGAACAGAAGCTGCCTCTGCACCCACCGTCGCATCCACACTGGGGAACGGCCCTACATGTGTGAGGAATGTGGGATGAGCTTCAGGAAGAGCTCCACCCTTGTCACCCACCTGCGCATCCACACCAGGGAACGGCCCTACACATGTAGGGAATGTGGGAAGAGGTTCAGGAACAACTCCAACCAGATCCAACACCAGCTCATCCACACTGGGGAACGGCCCTACTCGTGTGGGGAATGTAGAAAGAGCTTCAGGCAGATCTCCCACCTTCTCAAGCACCAACACATCCACACTGGGGAACGGCCCTACAAGTGCTTGGAGTGTGGGAAGATGTTTCAGACCAGCTCAGATCTCCTCCTGCACCACCGGACACACACGGATGAGAGGCCCTTCCGCTGCACTGACTGTGGGAAGGGCTTCAGCCAGAACTCCCACCTTGTCAGGCACCGACGCATCCACACCGGGGAGAGGCCCTACAAGTGTGGGGAGTGTGGGAAAAGCTTCACCCAGAGCGGTAACTTGACCTCACACCAACGGACCCACCGGTAAGGGAAACCCTCGAGTGCCCCGACTGCAGGAAGAGCTTCGACCTCTGCTTCTACCCCGAATGAACCCCGCTGATGCTGAGGCAACCCCTGGAGTCCAGTGACTGTCAGTCCATCCCTTTCAACCACAAAGACCCACTCCCCTTTCCCAGGGGCAACTTCTTCCAACAGGACCCTTCCTGGGGAGCTATATGGAGATTCCTGCCTTGGCTGGGGACCCCCCAAGGTAACTGCTGGAGGTTGAGAGCAGAGATCTCCCCCTGAGCATTGGTCTGGGGGAGTTCCATCCATCTCTAATTAAGAATTATTGCTTTTGTGCCAGCTTTAGTAGAATTGCTTCAACAATTGCTTTAGTGTAGACACTTCAGTGTCTTATCCTTTACTCCTGGTAGTTTTAGTGTGTATATTGTGCATAATTCTGCTGAAGACCTTTTATCTGATCATTTGTATCCCTAAATAATTCATTTCTATCAGTAGATCTGATTTGCCATCATTAAAACCTGGGGGACAAAAGTAGTTCAGTCACACCTCTGTAATTCCTCTAAACTGAAAATGTTGGGATAATCCAAGGCTGAGATTGGATCCAGCAGCTCCCAGCACCCCACAGGAAGTTGGGAGCTCAGGGGGCCACCTCCCTTTCCCAGCTCCCCTGTGCCCAAAGACCCCCATGGGACCATCGGACCTGCCAGACCACCCCCCCTTTTCCACCCTTGTCCCTGTTTCTCCCACTTTCCCATTTTCCCCTCAATCCTCAATTTCCTCCCTGAACACTTTTTGGGTCCCAACCTGCCAATGCCTAAAATCTATTCTGGCACAGTTTTAAACTTTTGTACTGTTGTTGGCTATTTAATATTTCTAAATATTATATCTAATCTTTCATAAGTGGGGTTAATTTAAGCAGTCTCTTCTTTCTCATTTTTAACTTTGGTAGCAGATCTTCATCACAGGTATCCTTCTGCTGAAGTCAGCAGCTTCTTCTCTCACTCTCACAGCATGCCCAAGATCGGTTGATGGTTTTCAGTGTTATCTCTGAGGCCTCTTTCTGGGCAGCTGCCTCTGGCTCCCTCGCCTGAACACATTTGGTTTCCCCCAGTCCCCCTTTTTTTATTTTCTAATTGAAACACTAAAACTTGTGCAAAGCTACAGCGAACCAAACGTGACACACAAGAAAGAAAACATGGCACACTAAGCAAAATACAGAAAAACACAAAAATTCCAGTTACAGTTACAATGGCAACTTTCTTGAGTTTTGGACTTAGATAAAAATATGTAGCCAACTAAACAAACTATCTAAGCGTGGGTCTTTCTTTGTGTTAAGCTGCGCTGATAGGGTTTTTAATTGAGCAAGGCTTTGATGAATTGACTCTGAGTGATCAGACAGATTCATGCAGCAAAGGCTTCAAAGTCTTTGCAACCATGTCCGTGAGCCAATAGCAAAAAATCAATGGCTGCTCTATTCTACAGAGTGACTTTCCTAATTGAACTGACATCGGTTAGTAAGGCATCAACTGCTGAACTTGGCAAGCCAGCAGCCTGGTCTATCCAAGGTGGTCAAGGCATGAGATGTTCCAATTCGAGCTACAAGACTGGAGAATACTCTTTCAACTGGACCCCAGATATGTACTCTTGAATTGCAGTTCTTATCGTATTGTTGCACGAATCTTTTTTGCCTCTTTTGAATGTGTGTGCTTATGGGTAATTTGTGAAGGTTAAACAGTGTTAATTTTCCAAATGTGCACGGTCCTCCTTTCGCTCTAGTGGGAATACCTTTCCACACTCGTGGCCCCCAGATTAAGAAAATACCACTGGGCAAGCCAAGAGGTGTCGCCCCTGATTTGAATACTGTAGAATTGGGTGATTTACACCAAAAACGAGCATTTTGGCATGTTCCAGAAGGAGATACGTCAATTGCCAAATAATGATTTGAATTTGAATCTGAGGGATCGAATTGAAAACAGAAAGGTACAGTCAGACTGCCCATGACATTAATTTCTTGGGGTTCTATTGGAATTCAAGGAAAATTATTTTCAAGGTTTTGGTTATTGGCACATTGTAGTAATTGTGCCTTGTCAAGGTTAGAGCACTGTGGCAAGTACTGGTGTAGAAAGGTAATCCACTGGGTGCAATTGAAAGGAAAGCCTACTAAACAGGTACGGAACGGATCAGTTGGGGCAGCCACAGACAAACACAATGTGTCAGTCCCAGTTGCATTGGCGAGTGTCACCCAGACGTTCTGCTGGTGAAAGATGGTCCAGTCAAGAGGCATGGCTGTCGTTATGAAGATGATGCAAGGTAGGGTCGCACAAAACGTGAAGGTATCCATCGCGGTCCTCGATCTGTGGAGACACAAGCATAACCTTTTCCCCAGGTTATTAAGGGACAAGGACCTTGCCATTCTCTAGTAATTGGATCTCTGAACATTACTTCTGCCTTCTCTCTGTGGAAACATGTGCTTGGACAAAGTGACACTGTGCTGCAGAGAGATCTCCTACTATTCTATTTAGAAAGTTAAGCACATATAAAGCCTTATTTAAACACTCCTGGGGAGTTAAACCTGAACTTCCTCTTTTCTGTTTTTGCAGCATGTCTTTGAGTGTGCAATGTGCACACTCAATTACAACCTGACCTGTGGGGGTGTGTGGAATACTTGTTAGATGTTGTATTCCCCATAGTTCAAAAAATTCTTTTGTGTGTTTGGACATATAAGAAGGTCCACTGTCTGTTTTAATTTGCTTAGGTACTCCCATGTGTGCAAAGGCTGTAAGGAGGTGACATTGTACATCCCATCTTTTCTCCCCAGAATGAACTGTAGCTACTAGAAATCCTGAAAACGTGTCAATGGAATCATGTACATATTTCAATTTACCGAAAGAGGATATGTGTGTTACATCTGCTTGCCACAGCTGCAGGGGTTCCAATCCTCGAGGGTTGGTTCCTTCAGGAGCGATAGGAGTGATTAGCTGACAGTCCGGACAGGATGCTATGATAGAATGAACTTGCTCTGATGTGAGATCAAATTGTCTTTTTAATGCCCTTGCATTTTGATGAAAAAACTGATGTGACAATTCGGCTTGCTCAAATCACTGAGGTACTATTACTGGTCCTGCAAGTGCATCAGCACGTCGATTACCTTCTGAAATTGGACCAGGCGGCAAGGTATGAGAATGCACATGCATGATGAAAAATGCAAATTGCCTCTTTTCAACTACAAACAGTAATTTTTTAAAGAGGGCAAACAGTGCCACATGATTTACTTCTTTCAGATAGGAGTGTTCAATTTGTTGAACCACTCTCACAACATACTGAGAATCAGAAACTATGTTTAAAGGTCCTGAAAAGGGTGTAAGTGTGCAGATTACTGCTGATAATTCTACAAGCTGTGGTGACCCATCCACATGATGTATATCCTGTTGCCAGTCATTATCCTTCTGCCACATTACAACTCCATTTCCCGTTTTTCCTGAACCATCAGTAAAGACAGTTTGTGCATCTGTTAAAGGAATAGGGGAGCAGTGCGTTCTCAGCTTCAAAGGAAAGTTGTTTAAACTCTGTAAAAAAGAACAAGCAGGTAGGTGAATACTTAGCTGACCTGTAAAATCACTTAAGGCAGTTTGAAATTCAAAACTAGCCTTCTCTAGCCATTGTAAATGCTCTGTTGTCATTGGCAAATACACAATACGTTGGTCACACCCTGCACGTTTCCAGCATCTAATGCAGCCTCTCTGAAATATGCCTGATATCATTTCTGGCCGAGTCGTTACTGTTTTAGAAAACTGATGAGCTAGAAAAACCCATTTCCATAAAAAACCCTGAGTATTGTTCTTGTACAACTGGCCCAAGAGGCCAAAAGGTTGAACGAGTCCCTTCAAGGTAACTAATATCACTGGCTCATCTAAGAGGTGGCAACTGGCCTGGCAGGAACTGAGTTTTTGCTCTACAGCATGCAAAGCAGTAACAGCTTCTGGTGTTACCTGTCTGGGTGAAGTTAGTTCTGGATCTCCTTTAAGCAGGCAAAACAATGGATGGAGATCATCAGTGGAAATATCCAAAATAAATCTGAGCCAGTTAATAACTCCCAGCAGTCTTTGCAAATCATTGAGGGTTTGCACTGAGTTTGACAGAGAAACACGCTGGGGATGAATGGCTGTTTGGGTTATTTTCCATCCCAGGTAATGCCAAGGTGATTCTTGTTGTACTTTTTCTGGTGACACTTGGAGGCCATAGGTTGCCAACTGTTGCTTTGAGGGCTCTTTGCATTAGTTCCTTATCAGCTGCACAGATTAAGATGTCATCCCTGTAGTGATATATGCAGACTTCTGGATACTGCTGACGTGCAGGTGACAGCGCAGTGGACACAAACAGTTGACATATGACTGGACTATTCTTCATCCCTTGAGGTAGGACTTTCCAGTGATAGTGAGCATGCAGTTCACTGGCATTAACAGATGACACTGAAAAAGCAAACCTTGTGTCTCTGGGGTGTAAAGGAATGGAAAAGAAAGTCCTTTAAGTCAATGATAGTAAGTGGCCAGTTCTGAGGCAGCACTGATGGCGAAGGCAGGCCTGGTTGGACAGCTCCCATTGGCTTGATGACTTCATTAATGCATCTTAGATCGTGCAATAGATGCCACTTGCCACTTCTTTTTTGGATCACAAAAACTGGGGAATTCCAGGGACTGGCAGAAGCACAAATGTGTCCTGCTGAAAGTTGTTCTTGAACAAGCACTTGAAGATATTGCAGCTTGTCCCTTCTAATCGGCCACTGGTCCACCCACACCGGTTCATCAGTCGTCCAGGTTAGGGCGGGGACCAGCTGCTGTTCAGTGGCCTCTAGGAAAAATTCATAGTGAGACCAAGTCCCCATTGTCCCAATGCATCTCAGCCCCACAGTGTGATTGGCAAGTCCAAAACTTGGACTTGCCCTTGGCAAGGGACAAACTGTGGCTATACACTTCTCAGGGCCTGTGATCACAATTGAATGCAAGCTTTGTTGTGGTGCTGTAACTCCTGCCACTCCCCTCAGTGCCTTCTCTGGCTCCATAAGTGCCCAGAAGGGTGACCAATCTCGAATAGAGATCAA